TACGGAGGAAAAGTGAAATAGTGGACCCCCCGCAGATCTGTAAGAGAAGCTGAGATGGCAACACAAACCATGGGGAGTGCCCAAGCATGTGTCAGGTTGGCATCAATGTGGAAATGTCTTGGCAAGTGTTCCGTTACCTCCCCTCCCATCCCAGCTCTCACAAACACACTGTTGCCCTGCCTGGAACACATGGTAGATCAGCGGCGGCATCTGGCTGCACTGACTCCTGGCAGCTGTGCTTCATCTTCGCCAGTTGGGAGTCTTGGCACTGCCACTTCATCAACTACCTGTGTCTCCTCTTGGGTAAAAAAGCAAGCAATGAATTATTTTGAGAGTGCAGCTGCAGACTTGATTTTCATCCAAGAGTTTCGCTGGAAAACACATGAGTGCCTGGCAGAGCAAATGCCACCCACATACCAACACACTGTTGACAACATGGAGTTTTGCACATATTCTTGTGCGATGCCATAGTTCATTCAGCATGTGAAACCCCCAGTGTTGAATTTATAATGACATTAGTTACTACACAAAATGGGAGAAGATGGACTAGAAACAATATATTTTTAAAGGAATTTAAATCAGAAAAAGCATGGAGTGGTGCTCATGATGACACAAGGATCTGTATCTTTCTTTTTTTTTTTTCAAATGTGCGGCTTTTTCACCATCACCTTTTGTTTGGAAGAGTTCAAATCAAAAGGCAGCCAAGGATTACACTGAAAAGAATTTGTCTCTATTTTTTTTTATAATGAACAAAATGAATGAGTGACCTTTCAACTCCACAATTATGGCTTCACATTCATTTTCTAATAGAGGTTTGGAGAACCAAGGACATTTGCCTAAAGCACTCTAAATTCACTAAAGGTGACTCCATGGACGGCTGAAAATAAACGGTCAGCTTAGTATGAATCATTTCTTTTTATATTGATTTTTACTTTGTGACATGTGCAGTAAACATAGTTTTGTTTTTCTCAGGGCAGTCAGAGATCAAATAAGCATTGTTTGTCCTTATGTTTGATTTTTTTGAGCTTTTCTTAGGCTTTTTTTATTTAAAAAATAATAATGAGAGATGAGATGATGAGAGATTATTTCCTCTGTTATATTGTTTTTCACTATCAAGATCCCTGTATCCTGACTACATGTACAGTGTATTGTCAGTTTAGCACGCCACCCATAGTCATCTTAGAAGCAGAGCGAAACCACTGTGACCATTGTGTGGCTGTTTGGCCAATAAGTAGACAGATAAGTCAGATGAGAAACTTCATAATAAAACATATTTAAAGATGAACCGTCCTTAAATCAGCTTGGAAATAGACACTTTATTAACAAAACAAACCTAGCAGTTGCACTAAGGTTGATAAGAATCCATTGCTGTCATCCGTCTGTTTATAACGTGTATCACAGACTCAAGATTAAAAGAAAAAAATAATGTTATGATAGTGTGTTGTTCCCCACTGGCTCAGCTGTTCTTGAATTGAACGTGATGTTGAAGAAAAGCTTAAATTTATTTATGTATTTGTTTATTTAAAAAGGAACTTGTGGGATCCTTGAATTGATTTGGTAAACTGTTGAAAATTAAATTCTGAACTCATCGTGTGACATGTCATATTTCTACAAACACAAAACATGAACCTTCAATCAGTGTTGTTTTTTTTTAAGAGGTTACTCATAGGATATTAACCCAGTGGGATTTTCTTTTCTCCATCTGTGTCAGTCTGACCCAATTTAGCCCTTGGCCTGATCCAACTGTTCTATATCCCAAACATATGTATGGTGGCAGAGGGATAAGCACAGCGTCACTGCAGAGGACTCACAGACACACACACTGCAGTACTGCGAATGACTCTGACGATTCACACCTTGGTGATCTGAGAAAACACCCTTTTTTTTTTTTCCAGCCTTCTGGCTCACAGCGTGGCCAGAACATTTGCCTGGACCAATCAGAACAAGTGTTTTAGATGGTGGGTTTGATTCCTTTGGGTCTCCATCACTGGCCAACCTTTATGTGGACATGCATTGTTATTACTAACTAACTGACTAGGCATTTCTGATTGGAGGAGTGGCCAGGCTGGCAGATGAGATGATATCACTGCAGAGAGTGCGTCCCACCGGGGACTTTGGCGTGTGAGGCACATATGGGCAAACAGGCTGCTGATGAGCTGCTATCATGGAGAAAGAGATTTCTCCAGCAGAGGACTGAAGTGGATGAGTGTGCATTATTTGTAATGGTGCGTGATGTTGACTCGAGGCGGCACGTGTGTGTCTGCGGTGTAACCCGCTGTTAGAATTTACAAGTGAGGCAGACGGTGTGGTCAAATGAATGGAGTGAAGTTGATTTAACAATAGTCTTAAGGTAACTCACCCTAAATAAATGATAGCCCACTTCCTGACCTACTGGCTGTAATCAGCTTCAGAGTGCTCAAGATATTTTTTTTTTTTTTTTTGATGCCTCGCCGCTAATGTCTTATTGATTCTCTTCTTTCCCTTTTAACTCCCACATATGAAAGTGGAAACTGTTCCGTTGGATGGATGATCAGATCTTCCGTCCCAACAATCTAACTAATACTGCAGCCTCATCACTGTACTCTTTTATTGAGCGCTAAGAGGCAACGCATACAAACAAGCAAACAGTACACATGATTGCATTATATTACACATGTAACGGAAAACAATTACATCCATTCCGTTAACCAGCAATTTCCCAATCAACCTCCTTTTATGAACTTCTCGTCAGTAGGCTGCTGGAGTGAAGCAGTGAAAGCCAGCGTCTCCCTCTTGTTTCCCTTCCGTACACTTAGCTTTGATTTATTTCAGCAAGGCAACTCGGCACAGTTGGAAACCAACTTTCTCACTCAATCTTCTGCACTTTATGTGCAAAAATAATAAATACTTTAGGCACTTGCACACCAACACACACATATTCACAGGCTGCCAGTCTCCTCCCAGGGTGTGTTGATCTCTTGAAGACAGTACCATATGCCTGTCGGGCCTCCCAGGGCTCGCTGGTCCAACTACTGTGCAGCACATGACTATTAAAGAAACCTGACTGTAAAAGGGGTTCAGGTGCACGCTGGCAGAATGTTTTGGAATTCACTAG